CGCATTAAACTAAGTTTAATGCGTTTCAATACATTTTCCCTATCCATTTAGCGACGATTCCGCATAGCGAGGGTTAATCCGGAACGGATTAACCTCGCTATGCGGGGCACCACTGTACTGTACTTCAGCAACGCCATGTGGTTCTTGCCACTGTAGCACCACCTGTTCCAAACAATGTTGTTATGTGCCGTCAAGTTGCCTGTGACTTAATGCAACCTCATGAATGAGTGATGTCCAAAATTCCCTGTCCTCAAAAGCCCCGCTCAGCTCTTGTAAACACAAACATCTTGTATTTGGTCTTCCTTTTTTCCTGCCTATGGCAACCTTTAAGGAGTCAGTCCATCTCATATTTGGTCCTTTTTTTTCCCTGCTGCCTTCCACCTTTCCCACCATTATTGCCTTTTCCAGAGAATCCTGCCTTCTCATGATGTGCCCAAAGTAGGACAGCCTCAGTTTTGACATTTTTGCCTCCAAGGGTTAGTTCAAATAGCTTGATTTGATTTAGGACCCAACGGGTTGTCAACCTTTAAGGAGTCAGTCCATCTCATATTTGGTCCTTTTTTTTCCCTGCTGCCTTCCACCTTTCCCACCATTATTGCCTTTTCCAGAGAATCCTGCCTTCTCATGATGTGCCCAAAGTAGGACAGCCTCAGTTTTGACATTTTTGCCTCCAAGGGTTAGTTCAAATAGCTTGATTTGATTTAGGACCCAACGGGTTGTCTTTCTGGCATTCCAGAATATCCGAAAAGCATTCCTCCAGCACCACATTTAAAATTAATCATTTTTCCCTTGTCAGCTTTCTTAACTCTCCAAATTTCATGCCTATACATGGTGACCGGAAAAACAAGTGTCCAAGCTTTATGGCTCCTTAATAAATACAGCCACCACCCATGTGGCGAGGGAGCAGGCTGGGTAGATGGGACTCGTTAGCCTGGGAAGGCAGCCCATGTAGGAGAAGAAAAACTCTGATTTCAAACTGCCACTGCCTTGTGACTATATCCACTGATGGAAAAGGCTTTGGGAGTAAACCTTGAGGCAAAATCCGGGGCCGGAGTCCCGGAGGCAGTTTGTGTCATTCTGGCAACTCCTGCGACATCACTGGAACCAGTTGTATTGGCTCTTGCCTTTCCATCGGACTATTTCAGCGATGTGGAGAGGGGAGATTTGCTGCTTGGGGAACAGCCTATCCTCCATATTATTTTACCCAGGCTTCGTGCTCTGGAGAGGACACTCCAACTTCACATACAGCGTCTAACTCCTTCATACAGAGCATGTTACCACAGTCTCTTGCCTATGATGATGACTGGAATGATGTGAGATGTGATGTAGGATATGGAAATATGTCAGTTTTGCTTTTTCTTGCATTCACATTTTTCAAACTTTAATTACTTTCTGCCTTGAGTATATGATTTGAAATGTTTGGGTACGCTCCCTGGCTGTAGCCCCTTTCTTCCCACTGTGTCCGATGACTCTGCTCCCCAAGTGACCTGTGATTCAGCTCTGTTTCCTCTGCCTCCATCACTTTTGCTCCACTGTGCCTAGATCGAAATGTTCTATGAGTTGGATTTAGCTCATTAACTCTCTAACGGAGTAGGATGACATGGGCTGTGAGTTGCATTTGCTCATTTCATCATCACTCCTGACAATCTGTAGCACAGAGGGTTCTTCAAATTCTGTGTAACCAATTGTCTGTAGCCTCTAGCAGGAGCTTGAGCTTTCTGTGAAGGTTTATCAACTGCATTCTTTGCATTGTGCTGAAAAAGTAACAAGGCAAATAAATTCTGCCTGCCTTACCTGAAGTTCTTTCTGAGCAGTCTTTGCACTGTGCTGAAAAAGTAACAGGGCAAATAAATTCTGCCTGCCTTACCTGAACAAACTATTTATCCACACACATACCCATCTTACTTATTTTTTACTCTTCTGTTAAAGCATTTGATCAGTTTCTGCACTGGATGGGGAATGACAGGAGGTGTAGTTCAACACAGATAGAGTGCAACAGGCCAGGGATACTGTTATGGAACACTTCATGGGCATGACTGCTGGATAGCTCAGTGGTTTAGGTATCTGGCTATAGAACCAGAAGTTGAAAGTTTGATTCCCCACTGTGACTCCTTGACAGGGGCCAAACTCAATGATCCATAGAGTCCCTTCCATCTCTTGAGTTCTAAGATAATTATGATAATAGTGGTAATGGTTATCATGGAGACTTGTCTATTGACAATGCCACTTGGGGCTCATGGGACTTACAGTCCAAACATCTGTTGTGCACCAAGTTACCTACCCCTGTGCATCTCCATCTGTCTCTTGCTCAGGGTGCAGTAAAATGGGACAGCTCAGGTTTTTCCCTCTAAAACCATCTGCCTACCTTGATCCCAGATCTGTACCTCATACAAGGCTTGCTTACTGTGGCTCCAGAATGCAAACCTGTCAACATTTTCTGCATCTCTGGTTCATTTGTAGTAGAATAGAATCACTTATTTTCTAATAGTCCTTGCTGCCCTCATTCTCAGGAACTACTTCTCCAATAGAAGTAATGGCAAAAGAGCTATTAACAGCTGATAGGCAGTTTGTTTTCTCATTTGCCTCCACTGGAATGCTTTCACAATTATTTTCATGGATGTGCTGCATGTAAAAATGCTGCATTTAAATCAGTCATCCACATGCATCTTCCAGAATTGTCTTCAAAGCTGGATGCTAGTATTATGCCCAGCTACAGCTCAGAAAGAAATCCGCATGGATATTCAGTATTTTTCCAATATGTTCATCATGTTCCCTTTTTTTATTCCCATCATTGGAAGGGCTGTTACCTCGAAGCACTAGATATTTGAGGAAGGAGCTTTGCATATATCTATTAGGCTCTTTGGGACTACCGTTCATTCCCAGAGCTGGCCCAACATCTTCTGCTGCCTGAAGCAAAGGGCTAGATGATAAGCCTCTCCTCTCTCCCAGTACAGAAGTTAACTGAACAAGCATCTAAACTTTAATTCAGCAGTGGCAATGGAATCCTTAAGAGCATCCTTAAAACATCCCTAAGAGTAAGGATGTATCACTAGAGACCATGGCCAAGATCAACCATATTGCAATATTTCTATTTGCCGATGTCCAAGCTGTACTACGAAAAAAAACTGATCAGGGAGAAATTAACCATTTGAAATGTGGTGTTGGCGAGGAGCCTTAAAGATGCCATCAAATAGAAAAAAGTGGATGCTAGATCAAGTCAACCTTGATCTGTTTTGAGAAAACGAGGTGATTAAACTGAGAATATCATATTTTGGGTTCATCACAAGAAGATAACACTCACTGGAAAAGGCAATCATGTTGGGGAAAATGGGATGCAGCAGGAAAAGATAAAGATCAAATTAGAAGTGGGTTGATTTTATAAAGGAACTCATGCCCCTTAAGTCTGGAAGATCTGAACAGGGCTCTTAATGATAAAACCTTTTGGAGGTAACTAATTAATAGGATCAATGTAATTTGGAAGGCACATAGCAATGATAATGGGATAACAACCTAGAAGAAGACTAGTTTAGAGGCTAGGTTCTGTCGCAAAATATTCTGTGTGATAGATACAGATGTGTCCTCCAGTGGAGGGAAACGGTAAAGGAGTTCAAGAGGAATGGGTGGGGGAACTGCCGCCCCTGCTCTCATCTGCTGCCTGAGGCAACCTTCTCTCTAAAGGTACAACCAAATGAAAGAGTCCATTCCTGTGACTCTTATATTGTAGAGTTACTTGATCTCTTCTACCCTTTGCTTGTGAGACGTTCCCATTTGCATCACTTTGACCCATCCTTTCTTTTCGAAAGGTCACAACACTTCCTCTCTGTCTGCAGAGTGCAGGCTTGAGCATCCTCCTCCACTAAGCCTGCACCAATCCTTTGAGATATTTGTGCTTCACTGGCAAAGTGTACAGGATGCACACTTTACCCTCTCATTTTTCAGCGCAGGTGAAGCAAAGATTTGCTTGTAAGCTGGTTGAAACTTTTGGAAAACAACTTAGGTGAAAGGTAAGTACTGTATGTGTAAATTATACCACTTCATTTTGTGATGTTCTATTTTTATTTTAAAGGTTTGGTATTAACAGCACAAAAGGATTGATGCTGTCATTTCAGTAATGATTAACAAACTTTTCTGCATCCTGTCTAATCTTTGGAAGCACATGTACTTAGGGGAAAAAATGGACCTGACGGGCTTCATTAGACTTTGTATCTCGGAAGCACATCCAGTCCTTCAAGAGCAGTTAGGTGGTGCGCCTTGTGAAAGCTCGTTTTTACCGTCCTAGTTCCACAAACTTACTTTGTTGGTGAGAAGGAGTCGGTCTGGCTAAGTATGTTTCTTCTTTTAATTATATGAGAAAAATCTGCTTTGCGCCAGGGTGTGTGTGTCATTTCCTTAGTGGAAATGAAGTTGTTTAAATGTAGAGAAGCAAGTATTTCCTAACTAAATATTACATTCCAGGTTTTTTTAGAGAAAAATAGTTTGGATTGTTGAAAAAGTGTGCAATAAGGTATATAGTTTTATTTTATTTCGCCTTTTAAAATGATTTATCATCTTACTGTCTCATGAACAAACGATACATTTAAGTTTTCCTATTTGTGTATTTGTATGAGGCTTCATGTATTTCTTTCTTGTAATCAAAGTTATATAATATATAGTTATAATAATTAAGGTTTCTCTTTGTGGTTCTTTGCATTTTTATGTATTAGCATTTGTTTACATCTCTTTTTAAATCTCTTTTTAATGAAAACTAAGATTTTAGCAGCTATTGCCACACCTTATGGCAGGAAATAATGCACTGCGTGCAAACGCGCTTTCTTTCTCCATCACAGATTTTGTCAGTTCCTTTCGTTGGGCGATTCCCTGTGTGTCATGTAATGGTAGAGGGGATAGGAACCTTGATACTTTTGCTGTTTTTGATTTGTGACATTCTCTTAGTATCACGGACAAATGAGAAATATTTTTGTCATCTGATTTAAGGTTCAGTGTACTTATTGCTTCTTATGAGTTTGTAATTGACACTGGATTCTGAAAAGAGAACCAGATACCTACTTTTGAGCAGAAGTACATGTTTCTCTTGCTATTTGCCATTTTTATGTTGATGCTATATTAATCCTAAGACCCATATTACCAATGTACTGCATTTTCTGTACTGTATTCTGGTCTAGAAGATTCCAGTGAATTTAACACCTCTTACAGGCCTAGGTGTTTCATCAGTATGAGCAGTAACAAGTGAAACAGACAAAGCAAGCATAAGATTGGAAGACAGTAAACAGGTTGAATAGTTTCTTTTCTCCCCTACAACCCAAAGGCCCTTCTTTTCTGTCTCAAAGTGAGATTCCTGCTGGACCTTCGGTCTCTCCGTCAATTATTTCTTGTAATATGTCCCACAAAATCCTAAGGCTTGAATGATATGCCAAGGGGAGGGGGAATCTTTCAGCTATATTTCTATAGAAAGATTTCCCTGCCAAAAATAAATAAGTGCATACATTGTTTCATAAAATTCATAACATGGTAGTCAGAGACAATGCCAGTGAAATGGAGCAGTTTCCAAGTTCCACTCCCAAGTGACACTCCTAGAAAGCGTGTTTGTAAAAGTACTATGAATGTGTTGTTCTTTGGGACTTGCTAAAATTAACATGGTGTGCTTTTAAAGTTTAGTTTACTGATCGCTATACTAACTGGCGGTTGACAAGAATTGTAATCCAGCACGGTTGCAGGGTAACATATTAGAGATGGTGTGATAGTTAAGAGTCTGAACAGAGACTTGGAAATCCAGGTTGTACATCCCACTGAGAAGTAAAATCCAGAAGGTGGCTGTTGACTAGTCACTCTTTTGAAGTTAATCAGCTTCCCAAGGATATTGTGAAATTAAGGGAGGGGGAGAGGAGAGCTGCATATACTACATTCAGCTCATTAGAAATATGTAAATGTAACTAATAACTTTTACAGCAAGACTGGTTTTGCTTGATTTTATGTTGTTATAGTTAAATATGTAATTTATAAAGTGTACAGAATTTTGTTTGGGGACATAGTTAGGTTTGCTTCCCCACCCTGCCCCCCACAGCATGTACACAGCACTGTGTATAATTTGTTCTAGAACCTAAGATTAGCTTTTCATAGGACAACAAAATGACAAGAGGTGTCCTTGAGAGAAAGAGAGAGAGGAGTTAGCACTCTTTTTAAAGTCAATGCTGTAATTAAAGCCTGAAGCTTCTTGTTCCTATGGAAACGCAAACCAGCGCAAGTAGGAAACGCAGGTTTCAGGGTTGTAGTTCTCCATACTTTAATATTTTCTGCTCCTTTGTGTGTGTCTCTCTGTACGTGTTTTCTCCCGTGGGTAACCATTTCCTTCTGCAGGTGAGAGCACAAACGGTTCTTGAAGCGAGGCCATTTGTGTGTTTTTTTTCCAGGCCTTGAGATTTAATTCCAAAGGAGAAGCAGGGGAAGGCAGCCTACTGTGGTGCTCTGGAAAACTAAAAAAGTGATCTCGAAATGTACACTGTAATAAAAACACATCGTTAGTTCACAACCCAGGCTTTCTTTCTTTTTGAAACTATCCATTAAATGGGAGGTGGCGCAGGCATGTCTTCTTCTACTTAGGCCTTCCGCCGCCTTTTCTCAGCCCATCTGCAGCTGTGCCACACATCAGGAGAGGGGAGGAAAAAACCAGAGGAAGAATCAGATGGATCATTTCCTAGTGTTGAATCATGGGTAGGGGACTTTGTTCCTCTAAAGGTTGAGGAAGGAGAGTTGGCTACTCTTCCTTCTCCTGTCTGAAGACAGACTCTTAAGGAGCCTCATGACACAGTGGTTAAACTGCAGTCCAGACTCTTCTCACAACCTAAATTTGATCCCTAAGGATCATAATTTTTTTTGTGGTTGTGTTTTTCATTGTCCAGTGTTCACATCCATATGTTATAACAAGGAATAACAACATACTGATTGTCTTGGCCTTGGTTTCCAGCCACGCATCTTTACCTTGAAGAATCCAGTAGTCAACTTAGAATTCCTATATGATCTATAGTGCCTTTTCCTCTTTTAAATTCAGCTTGAAAATCTGGCATTTCTTGTTCCATGTAATGCAAAAATCTTTATTGCAAAATCTTGAGCATCACTTTGCTTACAGCGGAAATTAGTGAATGGTCCTGTAGTTATTACAGTCTTTGGCATCTTCATCCTTTGCAGTTAGAGGACGTATTGAATATTTCTAATCTTTTTTTAAAAAAATTAAAGTATTTTTAACCTGCCTTTCTCCTCCTGAAGAAAAAGGTCTTTGCCTGCTTGCAGAAGGATAGCAAAGATGGGGCCAGGCTGGCCTCCTGTGGCAGGGAGTTCCAAAGTCTGGGAGCAGCAACAGAGAAGGCTCTCTCCTGTGTCTCCATCTGATGCACCAGCGAAGGTAGTGGGACTGAGACAAAGGCCTCCTTGGATTTTGGTGGCAAGGAGAGGTAGAGTTGAATATCATCCACATACTGGAGACACCGAACCCCAAAACTCTGGATGATCTCTCCCAGAGCATACTGGAGACACCGAACTCCAAAACTCTGGATGATCTCTCCCAGTAGTTTTATGTACTTATTCAATAACACAGGAGACAAAACAGAACCCTGAGGGACTCCACAGGTCAGTGGCCATGTTTTCAAACAGGAGTCCTGTGGCACCACCTTCTTTGTTCTTTCCTCCAGAAAGAACTGGAATCAGCATAAAACAACACCTTCAAGTCCTATTCCAGAGAGACGGGTTAGGAGGATAGTGTGCTCAATAGTACCAAAAGCCACTGAGAGGTCTAGCAAAACCAACAGGGACACAGATCCCCTATCCAGTTCCGGGCGTAGGTCATCTACCAAAGCGACCAAAGATAATCTCTTGGTCATTATCTTATTTTCCAAATTTGTTGGCATATTCCTGTTAGGATTTTAATAGATCCAGTCTCTGTAGCTTAAACTAGCTGTACCAATATCCCATCTGTCCCTGATGATTAATTAGCACAAAGTGCCACAAAGTTTTCATTTGGTTTGCTTTGGTTTGATTATACCAACCTATCACCTTATTCAGTCATTTTATTACCTTTTAGATTGCCTGCTGACAAGACTGCGTTTTACTTTGCCATAGATTGGCAATACAGGTGCAAAACCAAGTATTAATCTTTTCTTTAAAAAGTGTGTCTGTTATACCCATGGTACAAATGTAATGGAATTCTTTTAGTAGAGTTCAATTTCATGTTGTAATGCAAATGTTCTACCATTTGATTAATTAGAAGAGCACTACATGATAATAATAAACTCTTTTAGGAAATGATTTTTTTAAAATTGGTAATCAAAGCCACCCAAGCCTAGAAAATTGAAATGCTGTATCACCTTCTGCCTCCCTTCAAATGTCTTTTGTTTTCAGACTCCCTTGTAGGGTAGAGCCTATACCAAATGGCCTACATTAAACGTAAAATACAGTTAGAAGACAACTAAAACACGGTATCATTTGACAATAAAAAGAAACATTTTAAAACATCAATACGAACTAATAACAGGACAGTAATGTATCATTGTAACTTAGTAAGAAAAAAAGAAGCTAAAATGATTTTAAACCCAAATTATTGGCAAAGCTTTTCAAGAGCAAGCAACCCAAAATATATGTCTTTTTAAAAGCCCATTGAAAACTAGGTTTTGATCGTGAAAGATATATATTAATTAGGTGGGGTCACACAGTTTGATACCCTAACTGAAAAGGCCCCATTTTTCATGGTTGACAACTTAATGCAACCAGCAAGCAGGATTACAAAGAGGGTCTTCAAAGCTGATCTGCAAGCGCAGAGAGGCTTGTACCAAGCAAAGGAAGTTCTTCAGGGAATCACTGCAGCATGGATAATCAGGGAAATATGCTCCCTTTCCAATACAAAGTATTGCAGTTAGAATGCTGGGCAAATATGATCTCTCTCTGATAAAAGCTGTTCAATCAAAGCTGGGTTACCGAAGAGGAAATCACGACTTTGCTTTGAAATCTCCATGGGTTGCCTTTGGGAACTGAGACAAAGCAAACACGTTCAGAAGAAAATGGAGAGTTTGCTGCAAAGTGTTTCTGGCTTCCCTTCTCTTGATTGTAATTTTGACACAGTTCTAATCTTAACATTCTCCTCTGGCAGCCTGGCAGCTTTTCTGGCTTCCTGCAATCCGCATCTTTCCAGTGACAATGTAATACATGAGTCATTTATACCCAGTTAGACCTAGGAAAGCTCAGCATCAATTTTTAAGAGGTGAAATCTTTAAAGGATTGTTCATATGTGTGAGAGATCTTGACTTAAATCAATGGCTTTCATCTTCAAAATCATGATAT